AATTTATTTACTGTTCTCTGCCTACTGAACATTGCTGCAGCTGCTGCTTTTCTGCTGCTGAAAGCCAAGTGGCTGCCCAGGCACGGCAAGGAATTCGACCTTCTCAGCATGAATAAAGGAAACACTAGGAAACTTTGTTTCACGTTGGTCAGTTCTTTCCCACTGTAGCAGCTCCTGGGAGGAGGCAAGCTCCTAGGAGATGGCAATTCATGATCTCTCACTAATTCTCACTAATTCACTAAGATAAATCAATGTCGGGAACAACATCTGTTGCTTCTGCCTAGTGAACAGTATAACCAACTAGGATGACAATTTTGGCTGGTTGATATGAAGGAATAATAAATTCTCACCTAGAAGCTGACCTCCTTAAATAAAACCATTCTCTTACTGATCTGACACATCACAGTTTATGCATAGAGATCACAAGCAATAGTGAAATAACTGTTGCAAGAAGAGAGGAATATACAAAAATAACCAATCTGGAGACAAAGAACTGATAAAAACAAAGGAATGGAGAAATCATTATACATGTACGTATTTAAAAATAAATCAGTCAAACTGTAAACTGTGGCTTTGATACCAGAAATCACCTGGGACAACAGCTGGTGGTGATGGGGTACCATCTGTGGATCTCAACAAGCCTCTTCAGGAGTTTGAAAGCCTTTTTCTGAGCAAATCCATTATTTCTGAATGAAACAAATCCTAGGGATCTGTCTGTATACTCATACAGTCTAGTTAAAAACATTCACCTCACTGCAGCAGAACAGCCTTTACTGGTACCTTGACTGAAAATCCCGTGTTTTGAAAGTGGCTCTTTGTTGAACTCTCAAGTGAACCTGGAAAATCTTGAGGTCCAGCTGTAAATCTTACCTAACTTACACTCTTCGCCTTTCAAAGCAGTGAAGTCAGCAGGCACTGAATGCATCTGGGGAAACATCAACCTATGAAGACTCCAGTCATACAAAACCAGCAAATGCAGTAGGCTCATAGGTTCCTATGAAAACTAATTCACTAGGACCACGTGCAAAAGTATTGTAAATATACATACATATTTTTTAAATTGGAAGTTTTTAAATGGCTCAAACTGAAAATTGGTTCTGTGCACAGAAAATAATTTGGTTTGTTTGTTGCAAAAGGAGTTACTCACATTTCTTCAGTCCCTGTTAGAAGATACTGATTGACAGAAGTGATACAGACATAGGCATCCAAGATGTTTTCCAATCTGGGCAACTCTAAACCAGCATGCTGATGAAGACACGTGAATACAAGTACACAAGTGGAGAACTGATTTAAATGATCTCTTCTGGAAGATAATTCCTGAAGCAGGATGCCATTTGTTTCATTCTTCACTTTTGATTGACTCTTCAGTTTGTCTGCATTCGTAGTTCACAATTCTATTTTATGTATGGCCTTTCTGTGCTACTTTGTGCCTGTTCTTGCACACTATTTTGACAGCTGATTGTAAGCAAGCACGTAAAATTAACGATTACTGTTTAAGAAGAAGGATAACTGTCTTCTAGACTTTGGATTGCTTTGATACTAAGGGAACAGTTTTCTTACAGGTGTAGTAATGGGGTGTGTCTACAAGCTTGGTATAAGAAAGGGACATACAACTGCCTGCTAATCTGTTGGCAATCACCAACATAATAGCTTAGATTAATCGGTGAGCTATTTTTGAGCCTTCATCATCATGATACAAAGCCAGTCTTCTCTGAAGCCAGTCATGGTCATAAGTCTTTAACTGTTTCAGTCCATCCAAATTGCTGGAGCCTGATTTCTTAACTTAAAACTTATGAAGACTTGCAATAGGATGGCTTTCCTTGTAAAGATTAACATGTGAGTTGATAGAACGTGGAATTCAGCAAGAAGAGGACAATGTTGAATTTTTCTCTGAGCTTTTTTTCATGAAATGCTGTTAAAGCTGAAGAAAGACTGAGTAGACATATTTAAAATCAACTAAGAGGACCACATATACTGTTGCCAGTCTCTTTATCCAGAAAAAAAAAAAAAAAAAAAAAAAAAAAAAAAAAAAAAAAAAAAAAAACAAAAAAAAAAAAAAAAAAAAAAAAAAAAAAAAAAAAAAAAAAAAAAAACCAAACCAAACCTCAACCACATCTCTCTTATTTTAATTACTTGGAGGCATACCCTAATCAAAACTTAAAAATTCAGGGATAAACACACTGGTATACAAATGTTAAGTGATCAAGAAAATGCAAATTTACATGTTGCTATATTGTGAAGTGAGAAGCGCACTGCAGGATGTTCAAATGAAAACTGCTTTACAAACAGAACAGGAACCCATGCTACCTTGAGTATAACTGATTAAAAAGGGGGAGAAAAACACCTGTAGACTCATTAGCATGCATTGTCCTACTATTAGGATTTGTGGACATGATCCGTCCACAAAGTGATCTTACAATGAATCTACATGTTTTTTTCAGCAAATAAGTTTAATTCTTTCAGCAAGGCTCTGAAGCAGTATGCACATTTCTACCTAAGACATCTTGGACATGCAGGAAAGTACAATTTGAAAGAGCAAGGTAGCCTAAATGTTAATGCTAATGACTGAAAATCTGAAATTAGAGTGTGCATGTGTGTCCATTTACATATATGCATACTTTCTTAGTGTAAGAACAAGCATTCTTTAAGATGTAGACAGCAAAGGCAATGGAATGTCTTGTCTGAGATGGAGCCAAATAGCTCAGCTGCCAATAATTGTACAATAATGCAGAATTATGAGCGCCTAAGTGTAAAAAGCAAAACTGACACTTCATTAGGCTGAGGTTAGTCAGCAGATGGCAGATAGACCACCAATAGTCATTAAAACATCAGACGGGTGGTATAATTTCTACACATAACAGAAGTGTCCTTGACACTGACAAGTCAGTACATGCCATGTAGCAGTACTGGGAGCTGGATTTTTATAGAGATATCACATCACTGAAGTGGTAAGAATTTAAAAAAAAAAAAAAAAAAAACAACAACAACAAAAAAAAAAAACAAAGTAGTTTGGCTATAAATAAAATCAGGATGGTTAACTTTTTTGGTAAATGACATGCAAAAACACAAAAATTGGTCCATAGGTTATTAAAAACTTGCTTCATCCCCTGCTGAAGATTTGACAGTCATGAGCACACAAGCAGGCAAACTTCAGTTGTAGTGGCCATCAAATTCTGGCCAGATAAAGTTTTCAACTTAATTGCACTAAACCTATCCTTTCAGGCATTAAGAGTACCTATGAAATATTATGCTCTGGTATGTGCCGGCAGTGCTGCTCTAAGTTTATAAGAAATGTAGGAATGCTAAAGTCTTATCAGTGGAAATAAATGAAAAATATTTTCAAGTACACTGGCAACATACTGCACAGATGATAGATAGTTCATCTATTATCAGATACCAAAAAAAGTCTGTTTTTCAGAAAAGTAGAAAAACTGATAAAGAGTCAAAAGCTGAAGTTTCAAAAACTCATGAAATTTATAGAATCATAGAATGGCCTGGGTTGAAAAGGACCACAATGATCATCTAGTTTCAACCCCCCTGCTATATGCAGGGTCGCCAACCACCAGACTAGGCTGCCCAGAGCCACATCCAGCCTGGCCTTGAATTCCTCCAGGGATGGGGCATCCACAACCTCCTTGAGCAGTCAAGCTGTTTCAGTGCATCACCACCCTCTGTGTGAAAAAATTCCTCCTAATATCTAACCTAAACCTCCCCTGTCTCAGTTTATTCCCCCTTGTCCTATCACCATTTACCCTCATAAACATACTATAAGGGGACCACATAGACTTATTAGTACTCAAGACAACTGCAGTGCACTTTCAAAAAGACATGGAGGCTACTGCAGAAAATGTGGAGATAATAATTGCAACTGTTAGAAAATGGCTCAGTGCAAATCTGCAGATAACAAAGATGCATCTTGTGCTTGGAGAAAAATTTGAAGTTGACAAATGCTTCTATAACTCAAGAGCAATGTAGATAAGAACCCAGATAGCAACTTGGAGGTGCTACACATTAATAACTTTGGTTGCTTTCCTTAGCTGTTACAAACTTGAAAGTAGCCTTGTCATCCCAAAAACACAATAACAACTGGTATGGCATTCTCTACTACTTTTCACAAGCACTTCTGCATTATAGATTCATTTGGAACCTGCCAAAAACCTGCTACAGAAAAATATTAGTAAGAAGCAGTTCATAGGGGCTGGCTAGGTTGAAGGGAAGTTCACGTATATTTTCCTTTAAAATGTCCAAGTGGAACTCTTGTCCTCACACTGTCTCAGTCTGTTTTAGTTTGTTAAATGAAAGTGGGTAGTAAAATTTGAGAATGACTGTGAGAAGTGAACTCTACTGCAAAAAAACTGGCTGTTGACTCCTTTTTCCTTCCCTGAAGGCTTTTTTTTTGATTCTGAGCAATGAGACAACTCTGACCATGCAGACAGATCAGTGTTATCTCCTGTCTGATGCTCATCCAAATGAAGGAGTTCCAAGTTTACTTCTGAAAGCTTGCAAATATCAGTGACTTAAAATCAAGCCATTGCTCTTCTTTATTTATTGTCTTACAAAAACGAGGCAGTCTTTGTCTTCATTAAGCAGACAGCAAATGGTGAAGGAAAAGAACTTGTGCAGTATCCAGCTTCCATATTCCTTTAGGGCTGAAACATGAGGTGATGTGGTACTTCTTGATCTGGATACTGTATATGCTTCTTTCTTCACAAGAGATCTCTTGGCCTGGAATAAAGGCCTTTGTGCATTGATATAATGGTTTTAGAATGACTGCTCAACACACATGAAAAATATAGGACATACAAATGAAACAATACATATTTTACAGCTTTTATCTTTCTCAGGTGTAAATATTTTACAACAACTTCCATAAAATAAAATGTCTTTATACATATATGTGTGTGTCTGTGTGGGTGCGTGTGTACATTCACAAAATAGAGATTTCAACTTTTTAATAAAAAAACCTGGTAAGTAATTAAAAAAAAGTCTCTCAGTCAATATTGATGTTTAGCAGGTCACAGTAGCCTTAAAATCTTTTATTAAACAAGAGTATTTTTCTTCTACTGAGTTTACCACTGTAATTGGTGCAAAGACAATTGTTGACTGAGAAAAACTGAGAGAAGCAAAGTTGGAGCTGAGGGTGAAGAACAAGGCTATTCTATAATGCCAAGCTTCCAATGTATGCAAACTCACACAACTTTTCCATATGCAACATTCTTCACATAGACAATTCATACTCTCCCCTCATCTTCCTGGGAAGTTACAAGCCTAACATTATCATGAAAAACTGGACTAAGAAACTTGATTCCCTGAAGTCACAATATTAATATCTTGTGCATGATATCCGTACTTAATTCAAAGTGTTTAGTAACTCAACCAGAATATCATTTTCCTATCTTTATCAATTTAATTTATTCTTCAGTAAATGTTGTATCATGAACGTAAGCACAAACACAACTACTGCTACGGTCCTTCTGAGCACTGCAAAGGTTATGAATGCATTTGGCTGTTGAAGGTATCTCTGTGAGGACCGCCTCTAGTGCAGGTAAAGAATGTAAAGTGCAACCACTTGATATCAATCAATGCATGAAACAAAATCCTCAAAGCTGGGAACTGTTCCAGATTCCCCAGTTTTGTATAGATGAAAGGCTCTTCCAGAGGGAGGCATGGCTCAGGTACCCATGTAGTAAACAATAGAAGCATCTTCTGCTATTCAGCAGGTAGAGACGATAGTGGAAGGACAAACTTCAGTCACACAGCCTTCAAAATTTTTCAAACAGGCCTTGGCTTTCCAGCAGCCACTGGCAATCAATTGTGCAGTTTGTTGGATGAACAACGAGGTGGGAAAAAAAAAAAAAACACCACAGAACAAACAAACAAAAAGGCCGCATCCCCTTTTCAAATAGCTGATGGACAGAACAGTCTTTCAAAGCCACCAATGGCATAACTGACCTCAAATGACAATCTACAACATCTACAACATTATTGATGTTATATGTGTTTAATTATTAATTAATATATGTGCAATTCCATAATTGCACATAATAACAGTCAATTTAAATCCTGAAAACAAATAATTTTGAGTACCACCTTGCTCTGAAGAAACTAAGAGCTTGAATTATGGGATTTCCAGGAGATCCATTTTTTCTTTATTCATTATATTAACCCTTTTCATTCACTGATCTCATTGTCTTTCATTCTCATGCAGTTTATTCTGTGCTGGTGTAGAATATTATCAAATTCCTGCTCCCAGGTCTGCTTCTGGCTTGCTCAGGAGCAGAAGCATTTATTCCAGTTGGTTTCTGCTTGATGGCTGCTGCTAGGCCAGCTAGAAAGGAATTCACATTGCAACTGCTTCTGCCAGCGGGATGCTAATTTGAAACATTTTCCTGTGCCCACAGCCTGAAAGAAAAACATTAAAAAAATTCTTTTCAGTCAAACTAATCTCATCTCTGTAGGAGAAATTAGGGTAAGGATGGTTGCACAAAAGCTTTTTCAGCAAGCTGTACAACCTCAACTTAACACAAACCTTGGAAAAACATCGTCCACAACATCTGTCTGTGATAAACTAACAAAGCCACATTTTCTCTTAAGTTACCTTTGCTTTAACACTTATCAAAGGCTCAAGAATCTAATTCTTGAAGCCATATGATTTTCAGCTGGACATAGCAATGTTTCTTATGATTTACTGCAAGCGTTTGAGAACTGTTCTTCAGTTTTATCAGTTCCTGAAGGTGCTCAACAGCCTTCTTCAACACTCTCCCTCCAACTTCTCCTTCAGATAACTTTACTGTGGTAGTGCAACATGAGGACCACTGCTGCACCAGGACATGCTTTAACCAGGCACTCAATTGCACTTTCTACCACGACCTGTTTGCTTACTTTATGTTCATTTGACTTGTCCACGATACAAGATATTTTGATGTTTCCTTGACATAACTGAAAAAAATAAATAGTCACAACAAATGTGTTATTTGAAAATGACTTCATAGAATCAAAGAATGACTCAGGAAAGAGTGGACCTCAAAGATGATCATCTCCAACCCCCTGCTGTGGACAGGGATGCCTCCCACCGGACCAGGTTGCCCCGGGCCCCATCCAATGCACGTCCTCCATTCGTGTCCGAGCCGTGAGAGCCGCACTCACAACGAAGGAACACAGCACTCCCGCCCGCTGGGCGCTGCGTCGTGTCCCGCGCCCGGTCCTCCCGTGGATCCGACCCCTAACAGCCGTCTCCCTGCGATCCTCAGCTCGACCTGCCCACAACCACAAGCCTGCAACAGGCGCTGCGAGAATAGGGGGAAGCCGAAAGCGGCTAAAAATAAAAGGATGACATAATCCAACCCGCAGACCCCGCCTGGCTCTCGGTGACCGCCGGGACGGACCCCGCACCCCCACCCGGCCGCAGCCAATAGGGAGCGGTTTCGGCAGCAGCACAGCCGTGGTGCCGCCCCCTCCCGACCACTGCCGGACGGAGCCGGAGATTCCCGAGCTTTTCTCCCCCCCGCCGCCCTTGTTTCTCGGGCGGGGTCGCGCTTCCTCTCCCGGTTCCCTACCCAGGCAAGATGGAGGACGGCAGCTGGGGCCGCCCGCCCCCCCGGGGTGGTTCGCCCCCCCGGGCGGAAAAAAAAAAAAAAAAAAAAAAAAAAAAAAAGAGGCTGGGAGCATCTCTTTCTCCACCCCCCGACTCCGCGCTGCGCTGACTGCTGGCCCTCCCCATGCCGTCCTCCTCCTCCTCCTCCTCCTCCTCCTCCCGCAATTGTCTGCGCTCCGGCTGCCGCCCGCCCGCCCGCCCCGGCTCGCTGCATGCACACGCCGCCTCCTAGGTGGCTGCGGGGGGTGGGCGCTCCCGGCGCTGCCATTCCGCGCATACCTTCATGTCCCTGCGGCCGGCGGCAGCCGCCCCCGCCGCGCATCGCTCGCCCGCTCCGCTCCGGCTGCCGCCCTGAGAGCCGCGCCCGCGCCGAGGTGAAGGCGGCGGCGGCCGCACAGGGGAGCGGGGCGGCGGAGGTGGCGGCGGCGGGTCTCAGCCGGAGGAAGCGCCGCCGCACACCGCAGCCATGAGCAGCGCCGCCACCGCCGCCTCCACCGCCGCGGCCAGCACGGCCGGCAGCGGCGGGGGAGAAGGGGCCGAGGAGGCGGCCAAGGACTCGGCGGACATCGCGGCGTTCTTCCGATCTGGTGAGCGGGGCGGCGGCGGCCGGGGAGCGGCTTTGTCAGGTGCCCTGTGGCGCCCAGGTGGCGGCCGCGTGGGGCCCCGCGTGTCGCGGGCGCTCCGCGGAGCCGGATGCTACCCCGAGGCGGTGCCGCCGGTGACAGGTGCGGCTCTGGGCGGGGGGCTGCGCACGGCGGCCGGCCCGCTACGGGAGCCGGGGCCGAGGCCAGGGCAGTCCTGGCTCCCGAGGGGGGTAAAGAAAACGCGGGGAAGGGGGGGAGGGACGGGGGGGAGAACGACGCGGGGGCGGCGTGCCGCAGGGCTGCGGGCTCCGGGCGAGAGGGAGGTGACGCGGCTTTGAAAGGCGGCGGGAGGGGGGAACGAGCCGCTCCGGCGCTCTCTGCCCGCGCCCTCGGGAGGCCCTCCCGCTGCGCCGAGCCGTTGACAGGCCGCCGGGATCAAACATGGAGGCCGCTGCCTCGCTCCGTGCTCGGCCCGGCACGCAGCCGTCCTGAGGGAGGGAGGGACGGAAGGAGGGGGCTGCCCGCACGGTGTCCCCGGTAATGGCGGCTCCGCGCCCCCCGGGCAGCCCCCGGGCGGGGCGGGAGGGCCGGGCCGGGCGCTCGCTGTCTTCGGCTGCCTAAAAAGGAGCGGCGTGCGGGGAAAATGCAGACTCACCGGCCGAGAGATGGGGGATTGCCGCCTCGGCGTGTGAAAATAAAGATGACGGCTGTAATAGTAATGAGAATAATAAAAGCCGCGTTAATGTGGTTTTTAAGGGAAGTCCGTGACGGAAGTGGGATGCGCAATCAGCGCCGTTTGCTTGAAGGAGGATGGAGGAGGAGGTGCGATCGCAGCAGGGATCCCCGAACGGGACTCGGGGCTCGGGCAGAGGTCGGAGCGGGGGGCTGAGCGCCCTCGGAAGGCTCCGCGCTTCCCCGGAGGCCCGTTCGGCACGGCGGCGTCGAGCGTGGAGGGAAGGGAGCTCATTGTTGGCCCCGGCGCTTTGGTCGTGCGGAAAGGACCGATCTTTGTCTTTCTCGGAAAAATGACGTTGAAAGCAAAACGATGGGCCCCCGTAGTAGACGTGTGTATAGTTACAGATGGGTACGTGCTGTGTAGTAATCCTGCAGTTCTGGGCGACCCTGCCGGCTGTATTAATAGGCGTCTGTGTGTGGGCAGGGGGATGACACAGACTTGATGAGCTCGTCGGTGGTGCGGTGATGGCTTCTGATGCTGATAGCTTCTGATCGTAGGGAAGTTGCATTGAGCTTGGTCTTGCAGCAGCAGAAAGTCTTAAAGCGGTAGAAAAAGACGTGTCAGATGTTTACTGAAGAACTCTTAGAGCATATTTAACAACCGGGATTCTCATTTTTGTATGTACATGTGGAGCTGATCTGGTTGAGTTGGGCTGTGGAATACACTGAGAAATGTTCTGGCATTTCTGTGGGTGTTTGGTATTGGGAAGAGCTTGTTAAACTCTGCATCCCTCTGTGATCTGGTCTTCTGTAAGAAAATGGCCCGTTATGAGATCTGGGTACCTCCCTTTTGTTTGGGCAGGAGGTGCAATTTTTTTATTTCAGTGCAACACAATGGACGCAGCAATCAATGAACAAGCATAAGGCTTAGTTTGCTGTACGTGGGAGCATACAAAATATTTTTCTCTTGACAGCATTTACAATGACAAATGCTTCCTTTTTCCTGTCACTTGTAAGAGAATGTCAGCAAAGCTGTAGCAGTTATTTAAAAGAAAAAATGAGTAAAAATGTTACTGTGTTCTCCAGGATGGAAAAAAAAAAAAAAAAAAAAAAAACCTCAAAAACCCACAATGCCTGAACAATCAGCTGTAATCTAAGGTCAGTACACTGCTCAGTTGTACTGCCAGGGGGATGGCTGGCTTTCCTCCTTTCCTTTTGTAAGACTAAGCGTGAAGTAGAATTAAGAGCTTAAGGAATGAAGTTTCAGTATGTGAAAGGTGTTTCATTAGTATATTGAACAGTGTCTGTATTCACTTGAAACGTATACATTCCCAGTTTTTGATTTGGTTATGTAAATGCAAACTCACTCTGAGTTGTAGAAATTGGTTGTGATTGGAACATAAAGAAAGATTACTGAAGGAAGAAGCTGAGTGAGGCAGTACTATGAAAACATAATGTCTTGAATTCAAATTTAAAGTTGAATATGTTGGAGTTGCAAAAACTAGAGGCAGCTTACTTTCTGTTTGTTATCTAAATCTTATTAATTAAAGTTGAAAAGACAAGAACAGTTTGTTAGATCTGTCACCTTCTTTGTAGAAGGATTGAGAATAAAACTGCTGAGAAACAGAGTTGGTGCTGAGCAAAGTGATTACATCCTGACTGAGAAAACACTGTAGGAAGTGCCCTTCTGTTCTATGGGTAAGCTAGAGATTAGAGATAACAGTGTAAACTGACAGGATAGTTTCGAGCTGAAGATGTATAGACAAGCATCTTATTAAAAAGTACGTTTGTGTGACTTGAAATGATTAATAAAATATATTGCAGTGAAACTTTATTATTATTATTATAATAAAATGTTATAAATGTTATAAAATATATTATTATAAAATGGGTAGAGCAGACTAAGGGTCTGTAGCAGGTTGTTGATTCATCTGTTAGGTATACGAGATCTATTCCGCATCAAAGTATAAAGATAAAATGTATTTCAGAATGTATTCTAATATCCAGCTTAAAATCATGTACATTTTGAAGGGCTGAAAACAGCTAGCATGTGAGTGTGCTTCCAGAAAATGTATGTACAGAGCAGAACTGGGAGTCTGTCATCAAGGCACGGCTTACAAGGCAGTGAGCATACAGAGAGTCTGGGTTCTTTTTCGTTGCTGTTTTTAAATCGTTGCATCTTTACAGCTTCAAGTCCTTAATGCTTTGGGAAGGTGGTGCCCCCACCAACCAGCACCTTTGGAATGTACAAATTAGGGCTGCCAATTAATCATGCTATTGTAACATCATCCTCCAAACTGTTTTTGCTAGTCGACGTTAATGAATTCTGCCTTTAAGCATAAAGAATGAAAGGTTGTGGTTTTCTTTTTTTTTTTTTTACCTACTGTCTTGGCTAAGTAAATGTGATATTGATTGTATATTTACAGTTAAGTTTATCTTTGTGGAATGGTGAAAATATCTCTGAATACCAAAGGATGCAAGGCTTACAAACGTCTCAGTCAACTCTTGACTGGGTGATACAGCAAGTACCTTTTATAAATGTCCATGATAAGTCTCAGTGGAAGCACAGACAAGTTACAAGTTATTAAAGATAACTCATTACTGTTTTGCAATGAAGGTGGATTAATTATTTCCTGTACTATAAATTGAGTGCCTTCAGCAGCCTGTGAAGTAACTTGAGTCATGTATGAATGGATGGTGCAGTTTTTGAAGCCATTGAGAAGGTTCTGATTGTTGCCACCATTTATTACAGCTCATATCATGCTTCTAGGTGCAGCAACATTTACATTTTGAGTAAGGGGTGCAGAACTTTGGGAAGAGACAGAAATATCTGAAAAACAAAGGGAAAATAAGACGCTCTGGAAGTCTTGGCAGCAGGATGATTGACTACTCAAACTTAGCCAGATAACATCCGAATGTAACTGTCAAACGTAGTTCAAAACTCGATCAGAGAAAACACAGTGGTGGAAGACTTTCTGTGTAGAAATGAATCTCCACAGCTGGCAGCAGTCCTTTATCAGGAGGGGGAGTATGTGTCTAGGATGAAAGTGGAGCGGGTCTTAGGAACAGCCACCTCTTCCTGAAGGGAAGCCAAAGATGAAGGTAGTTGTCAGAATCATTTAAAACATTGTACACTTCACGCTTCCTTCATGTGCTTTTTCATGTAAGCTTCACTTTTAAACTTAGCGTTGAAGTATGTGTAGACGCTAAAATGCTTATGTGAATATTTTAGGAAAATGGGATGCAGAAATCTTGGGTGATTATGGACATGGAGCTGAAGACTTCTGCAAGTACTGGTGGCTCGAGAGACTTTGAGTAACCTGCTTAAAGTTCGAGTTCAACCAAGTCTGCCTATTGCAGTCTAGGCAGATAGTTGCTTGATTAGGTGAGACCATATAGGAAGTATTAATGACTATCATAAAAATATATAATTGATTTTTTTTTCCTCTTAAATAATAATTTTGTGGCTTTCTTAGTTTTCCTGAACAGTGCTTAAATGGTAAAGATAAAACCTAAACAATTTATTAAGAAATTAAAGGCAGGAACTTTGTTTAGTTTCTTCCTGTTCACCTTGT